ACAAAGCATCCAAATCATATTTAAAGCCATTTCTAAACCTTTAATGTGATTTGAAGGCTATAGCCACTACGAAGAAAGGCTGAATTTACAAAAATCAAAAGCATGTCTAAAATGTATCAATTTGATCTTTGATGTAAAAGGTTATTGTTAATTTACCCGATATGAAACAAGTATGAAGGTTTAACGTTGCCAAAATTGACGATTGTGTTGCAGCTTTAAAATACCAATGTCGTCATTACAGAATGCATTTGTCAATGATGCAATGTACAATTGTCGATTTGTAAAAATGCAAAATGTAAAAAGATTCCGACAAAATGTTTCTAGAATGCAGATAACATTTAAGACTTTGCATTTTACACTTTGCATTTTTACAAATCGACAAATGTACTTTGCAGCATTTGTATACGCCCACGGAAATGATGAGATATCGGTCAAGTTCGAAAATGTTAATAATCAGATGAACGGTTTCGGAGTTATTGCCCTTGACTTAGTAAAAACATGTTAAATTTGGCTTGTATGCACGATAGAGATTATAGTTTTTATCCGATCTTGATGAAACTTGGTATGCTTGTATATTGATGAGATCTCCATCAAGTTAGAAAATGGTAATAATCGTATGAATGGTTAAGGAGTTATTGACCTTGACTTAGTAAAAAAAAGGCTTGTAGGCATGATAGAGACTACAGTTTTTATGAAACTTAGTATACATGTATATGTCACAGTAGAAACTGAAATCCAGGACAATTTAAAATCCCCCTAGTACAAACTCCAATTACAGTTTCTCCTAGAGCAATTTTAAATTGAACTCTGTCCTATTGTTAACTCACATTGGATTTTGTACTAGAGTGATTTTAGATACTCCTAGGACAAATCCAAATTTCAATTTGTTTTATATAGGGTTAACCGAAATTGTAATTTAACTAGTACTGTTGTTTGTCTTGTCCTGTAATATTTTCATTTTGTATTTTATTGAAAAATGAATAACAAATATATTTAAAAAGGCACTTTATTCATATATAAAACATAATAAATATCACTAAATTCTGGCATAAAATAAAAACTTAACATCACAATATATAAGCACATAGCTCATAAGCACAATATAACATCACAATGTAAATGTAAATTACATTTAGTAGCGATATTAGCACATTACTTTACAATACAAAAGTCCACATAGTTCACATCACCCTCTGTTTTGACACACACCAACAGTTGAAGTATGACATTTGGTTGAGCAAGTAATTCCTGCACGTTTACACCGACAACGATTAGTTACACAACTGCCTTTGCAGGAACATACAGTTTGTGTTCCAATTGTTATACAACCTGTATGCTTGGATGAGTGTCATTGGCTTTAATGCACTTGGATCTGCTTTATCAAGGTCTGGGAAACTGCTGCTGCTAATTTCTATGAGTTTGAAAGTGTCTTTCAGAATGCCAGAATACAGTTAAATTCATAACAAGTTGTGATGCCACTCTTCTTGGTATTCCGAACTTTGCAAGGTAAAACTCTAGCGTCTGTGTTAGTCAACCAACTTCATACTGCTTACACTTAGATACTGCTTCATTGTAACGGGATTGCTGCTTGCTGGCGGACTTCTAATATTTCTCAGTAACGATTTTTCTGACCTTGCTGTGCGGAGTACTTGGCTGTGAGACGGGGTTGGCTTCTGCTAAAGACCACTTGTAGTGGTTCTTCAAATGGGTTGCCTCTCTCGGGAATATGCTGCTTATCATGGACACTGGTGATCTGGAACACCCCTTCATGAACAGTAACTTCTACACCATGTAATGGTAAAGTTCTTGTTCTAGTCCACGTTTAACTGCTGGTGTCGTTGAAGGACCTGGTTCTAGGTCTGCTACACAGGTGGCCTGAGAGAACCTCTGGTTCAATGCATTCTGATGGTATCATATCTTCGTCTGTGAGACCTTCAGCATCTATGAGCTCTAACAAGGAAAACTCGGTATGCGGGAGATATGATAGGCTTACTGGTCTGTGGTTGTTTCAATGGTTGACGAACACTACATGTGGAACATGTCTTCAGGAAGTGTTGAAAACCCATAGTTGTTGTGAACCTCGTCCCATGTCATGACATCTGAAAAGATATATATTATTTATTAATGATAAGTTATAAGATTTACATATTGCTCAAAATAATAATAAAATACATGTAGTAACACATTTTTTTATTCTAGATATTGATCTGTCAACCGACTCCTGTATAGTACCATATATGTGATACGAAAATCAACATCAGGCTTATGTGTCAAAATTACAAAATCAAAAGTTTGAGGTTCTTACTGATTATATACAAATGTAAACCCTTACAACAGAACTCTAATTTCTAGAAACTATTGATAAATTGGATTAAATAAATTAAGTATTATTTTACTAACCTCTTGATGGTATCATACATCTCTTCTTTGGTGACTATAGGATGGGAAGTCTTCTTACAGTACAAAATATCTGTTGATCCAATTGTGTGCAGCTTAAAATGTTTATTACACCAGAATTTCAACTGAGCAGTATCCGTACACTTCGCTCCTTTAGGTAGCTTTAATGCAGCAATTGTACGATCATACTTTTCTTGTGTTACAAAATAGGTATCTTTATCTATTAGACAGACTAGCAACTGTTTCATCAAACAACCTGTAGAACTCTGTTTGAGCTGGAGAAGATATTGCGATAAGTTTAATCTATCTCCCTCAGAAACATGTAATGAATTGGCACCACAGAATGGCCACTTTATATATCTTTCTTGAGCCAAATATAATCAACTAACTGGATAATGTCAAGTTGTGGATTCACAGGAGTTAATATTAGATGATATTTCTCAAAATATATATTATTTATTAACTTGAACAAAATAATCAATTAACTGGATAATGTCAATTTGTTGTTGAATGTCCTTCCAAGTTGTGATATTAACATCACTAGTGAATGTTTTTCTTTAATTTACACATTAAAAAAAAGAAAAAAGAAGCCAAAAATTTGTGCAGAAAATATAGTTAATGTACATGAAGGAATCAGTTAATCAGAATCAGATTGTCCTGAAACTTGTTCAGGAGGATTCCAAATTGTCCAGGACAAAGTTCAATTTAAAATTGCCCCTGGAAAAACTCTAATTTAAATTCTACTAGATTTTAGTTTCTATTGTGACATATATATTGATGCGATCTCAGTCAAGTTTGAAATGTGTATCACTTGGATGATCGATGTTAGAGTTATTGCCCTTGACTTAATAAAAAAGGCTTCAAATTTAGCTTGTAGTCACGATAAAGACTACAGTTTTATGACCGATTTAATGAAACTTGGTATATATTGATATTCGAAATTGGTATTAATCCGATGAACGGTTTCAGAGCTATTGAACTTGTGTGTACGTCGATGAGACCTTGTTCATAGTTTGAATTTAATGATAATTTGATGTAAATGATTTTGAGGTTTTGCTTTGACATATAAATATCTTTAAGATTATTTCAATCTTTATAAGTTCATTATTAAAGACTTTGCTACCATTTCTGACAGCTGGTAGTGGGGCGTATGTTACCTTGCCAGGCAATCTATCTTGTTATGATATTGTAAAACTGCAACACAATCGACAATTTTGGCAAAGTTATACCTCCATATACGAGGGATCGGACAATAATATCATGTAACAATTTAAGACATTTAGTTTTAACACCATTTAAGCCAAGTGCGCCGAACATAATATCAACTAATCAAATTGTGTAATGTAATTATTACTTTGACAGAGCTGGTTACTGCATAAAGTTGAGGATGAATTATTTTCATGTGAAGTTAACGTGACGTAAAGAAGTAGGAACTAATTTTAGCTGTCCTAAGAGATTAAACTAACTTTGATCATTGATCAAAAAGAAAGATAAGCAATATACTTGCCATTAAAGAGTTTTTTTGCTTGAAATGAAAAGATATTTTTACGACGTTCTTTTTAACAACTTTCAATTGGACTACTGAAGACTGGCATAACCATGATACTGCTTGGTATGAGGTGAACGCTACTCGTGTTTTGGTTTAAAACTTTTACACCAACTTCCACACTCCTTCACCATCTATGTCTCCTTTTAGTCTCAATTACCATTAAAGACTCCCCGACCTAGCCTACATATCCCGAGGTTATCATTCAAGCCAATGCCGGTAAACGTTTGATAAAAACAATGACCAGCTGGGAAACGGGATCTTTGAGAACCATATGTATTATGATTATTCTGTCGGTATAGTAGCGATTTCAATCAAATCAAATAAGAAAAAACTTTCCACCACCACCCTTCGCTAATGAATCATACCTCACCTCTGTAAGCATTTTGTTATGAAAGTAAATTTTACACTATTAGAATAAAATGTGAGAAACGGGAATAAGATAGAAACATCATAATAATAATATCAAATCAAATTGATAACAGGATGTAATGTTATGATGAATCTTGATCTTTAAGTGCCTAAATATAGAACATCGATTGTGGATTTGATGAATCGTCCAAGAATCAAACTTCCAATAAAAACGTGATTACTTGAGAAAATAAATTTTATTTTTAAATAATAAATAAAATGAACTCATTCATAGCACTCTCATACGTCACCGAGTAAATCGCCCCGCCCCACCTGCCTTCCCCTATACCTTCCTCTACATTCTCCAACAAAATCAAAACTGAAATCTGCACACAGAGGGTTAGTATAAAATCACTGAATTTTCCTCCAAATTTATAAGCTAGGTTTATGAAATTTAATACTTCACATTGTTTCTCCATATTTTACTTTTGCCCGAGGCACGTCGTTCCAACTATATATCATGTTCGAGGCACGGGTAGAGTCAGATTTGTCGGACTAGTCTTATACAACCCACACACAGACCTCACACACAACGGACATAATGCATAAACTCACACGCAGACATATAACAATTAAATAAAGTTGTTTGTATCAGTATAATGAAAACATCGAATATAGCTAATTGAATCTGAGACAATAACATTTATCATAACTCGGTACTTCTCCTTGCTCTCTGGTTGGATTTTTCCTCTGGACACAAACAGGCGTTTTTCTGTGAATCCTTGAATGATTTACAGCCTAAACCAAATACACCAGTATACATCATATCAGCAGTAGACTCACAAACTGAAATAAAGCAGGATACTATACAATACAAGTCAAACCACTTAAAGGGACAATTCGACATTCATTGACAAATCGAACCTTAGTCTCAGAAATGGGAATTTTTAAGATATCTTAATCAGTTATAGTGTTCAGAGCTCATCGTCGAAATTTGAGCCTTCAAATCCACGTGTGTCCAGAATTATTATTGCTAGAAAATTTAGAAGACGACTCGTCTTTTCTTGAGACTCATATATAGAAAAGACAAACACAGACATAGAAAAAGCAATTCCTAGTTCGAGGTATTTTTTAGGAATTATGTGATTTTCAGTCATTTCTAGTAGTCTTGAGAACTATTTACATATATTCAAGACTTAAATCAACCATCAACCTACCACTTTAAAGACTCGCAAACTGAAATTAAGCGATAAACTATATAATACAAGGAGGCTAAAAAGCTTTCAGACTACGAACTGGGTCGAATACCTTGCCTGCAACCTTTCTTGATACAACAAAATGATACTGTTGGGTGTGTTGGACCACAAGTCGAGTTTTAAGTACAAAAAAGTATTTTAAAATATAAAAAACATTATGAAATAATGAGTGAATACACCCATCATAGTGTATATATTTCTATCAAATTCACATTATTAATGCGCCATATGTTTAACAAATTTTATCAGCTGATGTATTTTAGGAATATTATAAAGTACATTGTTCGAGAAATTCTCTCTTGAAATACTATTATTTTCCGCTATCTATAAAATGTAAATTCTAAACATTGGTGCATGAGGACTGTAATGACCTAATTTAGCCAGGAAAGTGCAGTCTAATTTAAACCAGACCAAATTTTGGTTCCGCTTTTTTTCGTTAGCTTCATTTTTTTATATATCCACTTGTGCGGGTCTAAAAAATGGCCTCTTAAACATTCGTCAAAAAAATCTTTTGACCTAATCTGATGACATCTGCTTTAACAAATCAAACTCCGTTACTCTCTCACAAAATGCCAGCACCAAAGAGGTCAAAAATGTGATTGGCTAAAGCAGGGTTAGGTCAAAATGTTATTCTGACGAGTATTGAAGAGTCCAGTCTTTAGACCCAAATGGAGGAAGACATTCAAAAATTTGTCAGTTTGATGACACCTCCAGCCAACAAAATGCTTGTCGTCTATAATTTTGTGACGCGAAGAAAAGGTGCATTCAGTTTTTAATGCTTCTAAGAATACACCTTTTGTTTGCGTCACAAAATCCTAGCATTGGAGAGGACAGGAATTTGATTAGCTGGATGTGTCATCAAACTGACGAAGTCAAAGTTGAAATGATGTCAATCTCGAGTCGAACTACCAACTAAATGTCGTAATTTTACCTGTAAAAATGGAGAGATAACGATCCGCGCAAGCTTTATTTTCTGTAAGCAACATAAACAACGACTGCATGCTTAACACAAACAGACGTTTAACGGTTACTAGCCAGATTTTTCAGATTATGTTGTTTATTCATATAGGTTAATGGCAATTAATATGACTGATGTATTGTACCGAGTCTTCACAATATCAACCACCCAAGAACGTCCTGTTATATAAACTTTATAATCAGTTAATTTTGTACTGTTTATAAGACATGCAGAAATAGGCAAAGTTAAAGAAGCACAAGGTATATTTATGACATTTAAAGGAAATCCATAGTGATCCTTCTATGTCTATTCCTACATGTATATGTCTTATAAATGATATTTAAACGGATTTCAAAGTGGTTTTCTTAAAAAAAAATTATGTGTATCGGGGACACTGAGTGTTAATGTTAGTGTTAACTATTAGGGTAAGCTCTGACCTCTGCATCGTGTAAACCTCTTACTGTTAAAGGGATATGAAAACTCATGCTAAGCCAGTGTTATGAAACGCTGAGTAGGGATTAGTGGAACACTAGAGTAGCACTAGATTAAAACTAGTGTTAAATTGTTCCCCAAATACCTCAAAGTGTAATGTTATCTCAGTATCACCAACGTGGTCAAATGAAATTTTAGGTTGTAACATTGCAGTTAAGTAATGTTACGAAAGCACAGTCAGGCATGCTGGCTTAAAGGGTTAGTTTTAGGGGAAGGGTGGGGTTTTTTTTTCTCCCAAATATACAGACCTAGGGTGGAGCAGACACTTTGTGACCAAAGTACCGAAGTACCGTGTGTAACTGACTTGGGCTTGGAATATTTGAGCCTAAATGGCTGCTTTAAATAAACTATTACCATTATAGGCATCAGTTGAAAACACGTCTTTCACTTTGCGACAGACTTGCTGTAAACAGACTCTAAATTGATCATCACAATTTTCTTTGTTTTCGTTACAAGTATCATAACAGATATCATGTTTATCACAACATTTGGTAACTACAGGCATTATAGATGTATCAAGCTGTAATAAAAATACATGTATTAATTTGTAGCCTAAACTGTACTAAGGTACAAGTATGAATTGGTGATAATTGTTGCGGACGATGTCGAAGAAACGAAAGCCAATGCAAAAGCAATGTTTTATTCGATGACAAACAAACTGACAATACTTCATCGATAAATATTGAAGTGTGCTCAATGCGGTCTCTCTTTCGAATGCTCTTCACACTAGGAGTTACGATGGGAAAGGTGTGCTCGATACCTTTATTGAAACAACCTCGAATGGTGCGGGAATACGATTACAAAAACTAATTTACACAATAATTGTGATAAAGATATACACCATCGTTTATATATTTTTATTTCAAAATCTACAAAAATACACATATAACTAATTCATTGTTATATCAAATTGAAATGAGATGCAAGAATTTGTGTGTGTTTCTGTAAAAACGATACAAGACATATTTTTGTCTCAATATAAAGATTCACGTTTTGTTTTTATAACGTTACATGTATTCATTTTTGTATCCGACTGAAATAAGATACACGATACAAGGTGTATTGTCCGATCAACATAAAGATACAATTAGCCAATTGTTGTATCAAACTGAAATGACGATGCAATTAATAACCTATAAAACACAATCAGTGATGTAGCGAGGATGTCATTAACGGGGCAGGGGTGTGGGGGGATCTCGCCACCCCCACCCACCCCTCTTTTGGATTTTAGAGAGTGCAAATTTTCTAATGTAGGAAGAATGTATCTAGCGCGATTTTTATAGTGAAGGTAGAACAAATTTTTCTACTGTCCTGAGGAGGAGGTGGGGGGTCGGGACATGGCAACATGATCCCCCGTCCCCCACTAATTACGCCACTGAACACAATACATTTAGGGTATAAACAACATCGCTATATTTATTACAAGCGTGATTCGGTCGAACGACTAATACAAGGGAAGGAACTCTCTAATTTCACAGAAACAATGTATTTATGTCAGGTTCCAGTTCTACAAGGGTCATTTGTTTGATCAAAAGGACACAGATCCTTTAAGTTTAATAATATTTCGAAATTTGAGCCTTCAAATCCATGTGTCCAGAATTATCCATGTTTGAATGTTTGAATGTTTAAATGACGACTCGCCATTAAGATAATCTGTGATATATAGAAAAAACATTTAAAGAAATAGTGAGTAAAATTCCTAGTTTTCTTTTCTTTCATTTCACTTCTGAAGACTATTTACGCGTATTTAACAAATCAAAAATCAAACCCCAAAATGGCTCAACTGTCCCTTTAAATAAAATCTGACTAGGTTTTACATGGTCATGGGCCTTTTAACAAATTATTGCCAATTTCAAACAGCTGACCAAGATTAAATGAATATAAAATTCATTTACAAGCAAAGGAAGAAGAACCTTTTCTTTAGAACACCCTTGACCAGTTTTGTTCTGGTTTAACTCTTCAAGTGCTACTAACTTAGAGTGAATTCCTGACTATTTATGCAAAAATAAATGCGGAGGCGTTTCTCGGGTCAAATGCGGAGGCGCTTCGGGTCAAATGCAGAGGCGAAATTTAATTTATATATATGGGAACCTCGGGTCAAACGTTATAAGTATATGTGTTACCTTGATTAAACCATCAGCACCACATCCATTACTCGTTGGTTTATGTCTCGGATTAGGCTTTGGATTTTCACCTAAAAAGACATAGCAACCATTTATATTGAACATTATCAATAAAATCATGACGTATCAAATGCCACATTTATTTGGTTGTCATCGAGGATCGCACAAAACTTTTCATTTATAAGCTTTTTCGTTACATAACTATAATATATTATAGTTTTATTGCCAAGCAGGGTAACATACGCCCACTGACAGCTTTGTTAGATTTCGGGGATGGGAGAATTTTTCATTTATTGATAATTATTAATTTTGTCCCAATTCGAGGGTGTTTACAAGCTAGAAATAAAAAGGCTTTTTGAAGAAAAATGGCAGTAACCCATGTAATTACGATTCCTTTTTGGTTCATTATGAACAATTTCACCAAGTTCACCTTATTCCGTCAATTACAATGTCTCCAAGCCAAAAACGTAAAGCGTGTAGAACAACAAAGACACATAGTAAATAATATTTCGGGTTTTTTTATGATTTGTTATAGGGTTCAACCTTGTGTGGTAATGAAAGATTAAATTACATTGGAGCTTCAAATTAATCTGTCTTTTCATCCTATATCATTGCGTTTTAACGTTGTGATGGGTGATCCTGGTGGGTAGTGTATTTTCAGTATTCTAATGGTCTTCAACAAACTCAAAATGACGTGTATATGTAGGCCTAGGCCTAAGTAAGGAGCTTAAATAGTCTTTAAAAAAAATCCATTGGGATTAAAATATTTAACTGTGGTTTGGAAGATAAACCTAGTTGCTTCCCTTGGTCGCTTTAATAACTAATAAAAAGCCAACTGCTGATTGTATGAGAATATTAGAAAAAAATACCATTACCATTTTTACATTTAAAGAAACAGCCTTCAGGTTCACCTAAATAATCTGTCAAAGAATTCACAGCAGAGTCTAAACCGTTTAATAAGTCATCAAAGTTAAAGTCATTTTGACTTCCGCAGTTTACACCGTCCAGTCCCGATGAAATGAATATGAAGTATGCACAGATGAAATGAAACGTATTATACAAAATATATTTTTGAGTCCATGAACACATTTTTAAAACGAAAACACTGAACAAGTTTACTTCACTCACTGAACGTTGTGAAATCCGAATTTATAAAGGATATCCGTTTGTAAGACTACTCAAGCATACTGTTACTTATTTTAGATCATATAAAACGTTTTCAATTTTCATTGGCCGATAGCCGGTAAATACTAAATACAATCTTCGCTACTCGCCATAAATCACTCCTATGAAAAGGACTTTGATCAGAAAAATAAAAGAGTTGGATATTATGTAGGACTATTTATATTTGAACATATAATTTTAAGGTGATTGCTATTCAGTATATCATATTGTCATCAACATGTGGACATATGTAGAGCCTTTCCAAATCTCAATCAGCATAAGCTGGCAAAATCTAGACCAATTTTTGCTATCCTGGAAGATGGATAGGAATGGCAATGTCAGTGAAAAGAGAAGCACATTCCAGTGCGCAAGTGAACCACGCATGCAAAGATTACATGAAAGTGAATAAACAGACCTACCAATTAAGTTACCTTGAAATATTGTTCCTTGATGTATTTCTTCCAAAAATTTACCTTATTCCACTAGGTTATGAGATTATCCTTCAAATCAACCTAATTTCGACCATATCTATCTGGGGGAATTGGGGGGGGGGGGGGGGGAGGTCTAATTTCCACCATATTTATCTGGGGGAATTTGGGGGGTGGGGAGGGGGGGGGGGTGTATTCATGGGCCTGATTAATCCTTGTTAAAATATTCAAGCGTCCCGTAAACTGGTCGCCGTCTTCACAGCCAACTTATTTAAAGGAACATGCATAATTTTTCGTGTTCAATTATTTTTGCGAAAACTTGCCAGTATTCAATATTGCACACTGAAGAGGGTTCATATCATTATATGTAATACAAATTTTATAAAAGAAAAACTAAACAAATAAAAACAACCCCCTTCACCTACAATAAATTGGCATTATTCATAAAGGGATACATTAATTGCATTAAAAGGTGTTTTTCATGAAATTATATCAACTACATTAGTTAAAACATACTGAAAGCCCTTTAGTATCATTCTTTAAAGATGGGTTTCCTTATCAAATTGAGCAAAATATTAGATTAATTGGTGTTTCTAATGTATCCACGGGCCTGACTAATACTTGTTGAAATATTCAAGCGTCACGTAAAATGATCGCCGACTTCACAGCCAACTTATTTAAAGGAACATGCATGTTCAATTATTTTTGCGAAAACTACCTAGTATTCAGTATTGTAAACTGAAGAGGGTTCATATCATTGTAATATGAAATGTAAATTTTATTAAAGAAAAACAAAACAAAAAAAACTTGAAACAACCCCCTTCACCTTTAGTATCATTCTTTAATGATGGGTTAGCGTCAAATTGAGCAAAATATTAGATTAATTGGTGTTTCTAATGAATTATCATGTATTCTTAATCATATCATTAGGTTACTAAGAGTTTTAACAAATCATTAATGTCCATGTATATACAGTTTAGATAAACATAAAAAAACTTTTTGACCTTTCTTGATCGGTCACTCATTGGAATTCTGCTAGTAATTCACTTCTAATTGAGCTAATTACGAATGAATTATGGACGTGTAAGACAAATTGGTCTTTTACCAATTAATTAGATCACATCTACTTTCTATTCATATTAATATTAGCAATTCCATTTTCATAAATGAAAATAAGGGAACCCATCTTTAATCCATATCTCTATAAATAGTAACAAAAAAAGCCTAAATACAGTAATTTCATAGAATAGCGTTCATTAAACAAACATTTTTGCACATTTTGGGTGAAAAACCGCCAAATCACAACTATTTTATAGGGAAAGCTGCACCATTTTTGGATTTGTGTCTTGAATACATTATGTAAATAGTCTTCAGACTTGGGCTACTAGAAATATACGAAAAATCACATAATGCCTTCAAAAATATCTCAAACTATCTCTTTTCCTATTACTATAGATGTCTCCAGCGTCTCCAGAAAAGACGAATCGTCTATTTAACTTTCAGACGCGTTTATTTATGGGCACACATGGATTTAAAGGCCCAAGTTTCAACAGTGAGCTGATTACTGATTGGCTCAACTAAAAAAAATTCCCGTTTCTGAGATTAAGGTCCTATTGGTAAAAATCATGGCGCATCTGTCCCTTTAATACAGTTCGTCATATTTACACTTTTTTCACTTCCTGTACAAACAGGGTATAGGCGTCTAGTACTCTCAATTCAATTTTGGCTGCAACACTTCTCAGAAAAAATACGACGTTAGGTACAATATACATCACAAAAAACCAACAAAA